AGACTCCTCCTTATCTCAATCATATCCAGTCTCCAAGTCTATCAATTTTACCTCCTAATATTTTGCACATCCCCTCCTCTGTAACCCTGCCATCAAGAAACAAATTCAGGCACTGAGTAACTGCTACTTCATTTATAGCCATATGTCCCCAACCAATTTACCCATAGTTGCAATTTCTATCCATCCTGTCCTCTTCCCCCTTAAAGTCATCTCCATATTAAAGCCAGAGATGAATATACGAGTAGATCTGATATCCAATTTTCTACTTAAAGCCCTTCAATAGCTCCTTACTAACTATAAAATTTAAATACCAACTCTCTAGCCTCACCTTCTACCAGTTCCTGCCCTACCTTTTAAACCGTTTTTTGCTTTCTTTGTTCATTTTTTTGCATCTACCAGGCATACCCTTTGCATCTTTCCTTCTCTATTTAACGCTTGAAAATTTTTCAGGATTCTGCTCAAGCATCAGTTGTTTCATAAGCTTTTCCAGAATCCCAGCATCCTATGCCATGGCATCCTATGCATATCTCTTTCTTATCATTAAACATATCAGACTCAGTGTGGGTGTGGGTATGGGTGTGTGTGGCTGTGTAAGCAGTTCCACCAGGTTCTAAGTTGCTCAAGAGCAGAAACTGTGTCTCATTTATCTTTTTAACCCTGGCACAATGCCTGGCACCCAGATGGCAAGCAGTAAGTATTTGTTATTGAATTCAATTAAGGAAGATAACCACGGGTCCTTTATTAATATTAATTCAGTGGCCAAAACTTTTTTTTTACGAAAAGTCAAAGGAAACTTTAAAGGCAGCATTACTCAATTTCTTATTGAATTTAAATTGATGTGAGATTTAACATCTATCCTTCTACCTATCCCATTACTTACTTCTGCATATAATGTTATATTACAAACTCAGCAGTAAATCTCAATAGAGATCTACTTAGCACAGAAGTCATTCTACCACATTACACTGGATTTCATATATAGTAAGTTACATAAAACTAGATATCAAAATCCACTGATATAAGTTTTATAGTTGAAAGCAATTCAATATGGAAAAATTGTATGACATTTTTTTTTATCCAACCTACCCGAAAATTATCTGGGGAGCTCAAATGAAGTTTTTCCTGAATATCTTGAGAAGCACCAGCACACAACCTATAAAAGATATGATAATTCCTTTCCTCTTTGCCTTGAACACAGATCCTAGATTTCTCTAGAAGATAATGAGAAACAAATCCTCCAACAACTGAACTCTAAAAAACAAAACAGAGAAAAAATACATTTTTGCATTTACAGTGTTAAAGTATAACCTCACAATGTTAAAGTATTATATTTTCTAATAAACATTTGTCTTTCAAAAAGACTGTAGTATTTATCAAATAAAGGGGGAAAAACATTAGATATGTTAAATGTAAGTTAGATTATTCATAGAGGTCATAGTGAACACATACAAACAAAGTAGGACAATTAAGTTCACGAACTTTCACCGTGTAAGCATATGGTGGAAAGTTTGTGAACTTAATTGTCAATCCTTTGTATAGTCTCCCAGCTATCTTAAGTAAACAGAAAGAAACTTAAACAAATTTACATGAGTTCAAGTACACACTAATTCTATCAAGACCCTCCTAATTTTCAAAAACACTGCAAATATATCATACCAAAACTCTCACTTACCTTTTCATTGAAATGTATTTCTACAAATTTTCCAAATCGACTACTATTATTGTTGCGAACAGTCTTTGCATTTCCAAAGGCTTCTAAGAGTGGGTTAGCTATTAAAAAAGAAATAAAAATATTCCATCAAAAAATTAGCATGAAGGAAAATTAAAAACAATATGCATAGTATGTTTCCATTTACCAACAAATATACATAGCTAGAAAAAATGTTCTCAAAAATACTAACATGAAAATTCATATGTAATGTCAAATCCCACAAATATGTATTGACTACTGCTATGTTCAGGCCGTATTAAAGTGCAAGAAATAGGAAAATTACTCAAAATACATTTGTTAAATGTAAATGTTATGGGAAAGACTAAACTTTTAAAAGTCACTAGTTTACAAAATTTATAACTCAAATTTAAAAATTCCTCCCTAAAAATTTGGAAGTTTTCACAGGTACATCAGCCTACAACAGTAATTATTATAATGTAGAA